CTCACTCTCATGTTCCTTACTGCTTTAGTATGTTGTCACACACACACACACACACACACACACACACACACACACACACAGAAGATATTGCCCTGCCAGTCTACTGAACTGATCACAAGATACAACAGATCACAAGATACAATCATTGTATCAATGTAAATGTTACTGCAAAGGGTTCAAGATAGACTTATAATTATCAAACTCATCAGTCCTATTAAGAATAGTTTTATTGCCGTCTACCTTTGATCTTATTAGAACAGCAGCTCCAAGCAATTGAGGCATATCAAGGACATTATATAGATGTCTTTGGGCATATAGATTTGTACCTCAGTGCTTTATGATCTCATGAATAGGTAATGTACATATGTCCATCTGGTAAATGGTATTGTTTCCAGGGCTCTTAGAACTTGGTGTGTAGGAACACATGGGAATAGTGAACATGTGTCAGGTCTTGATGAAGTGCAAATGTAGACTATGGTGATCTGGAATGGTCCATAGTGGCCAGGAAGGTCAATATCAAGTATTTCCAGATCCATTTATTTGCTGCCCAGGACTGCCTGATCATGATAAGAAAGTATAAATAAGTCTCTGCTGGTTGCCAATTTGGTTCCAGGGCAGAACCAAAGCCATATATTGGTTGATCCACAGCTGAGAGTGAGATATGTCAAGAACTCTACATCTGACATTCAATTTAAACTGAATTAGAACAGCAATATCTATCTAGGAATTGCTTAACATTAAGTCATTTTGCCTGCTATTTGCCCAGTACCATTGTATTTTGCATACTTTGTTGTTGGAAAATGTTCATGTAATGTTTCAAGTGCAACAAAGCCTTTATCGTGTCAACTGACAGTTATTTTTGAAGGACCTGTTGCATGTCTGAGGACAGCATAATTAGACCATTGCCATTTTGTATGTATAGTTAATTATTAGTTATTGGTTTTCTAGACCTCCAGTCTGTATATAAACATATCTGGGGAAAGTTGGTTGTCTATTTAATAGCATGACCATGTACTTACCCCATCAGGATGGTGAATTTTTCAAAACGTGAAGAACCCTGTCAGCAAAAGAAACTTTTGATTAAGGCTCTGAATGCCACAAAACAGTACTGAGAGGTATTCGTGCCTAGTGGAGGTGGCAAATCTGCAAAATGTCGGCATAATTGGCATCTGCAGCCATAACTCAGGACTGATGACTATCTCCCACATTCTGTTGAAGTCAGGCAAACTGAGGCAGGGTCGAAGCCCTTGTAGTTATGTGAACTCACAGTCAGCAGGAAGGCCTGATTATCAGATGGATTAAACTATTTTGTAGGAGATGTCCTGAAATGACCTTTCATGGTCGTTCCAACTACGATACGAGAAAATGTTCAGGACTGACAATTTTAAAGACATGTTTGCTAGTTTTATTGTTTGATGGTGCAGAATTGGGTTCTGCAATGTTTCATAACCTGCTCCAGTTGTGTCAGGTCTGTCTTAGGAAATAGATGACACTCATGACAGAGAGGAAAGACAGTTTCCCAAGTGTCCATTCACTGTCCTGTGTGTGTAATTCATACATCTTCGCTCCATGGCACTCAAATGTTGCTATAACAGTTAACAAAATTTTCCCAGCAAAGTGTATGTAATGCTGTATGTAGGAATGCATGTATGTAAACTATCTGATGTGACTTCTATTTCCCATGATTGCATCACACATTGACTGACAGGTGTCATTTCAGGTCAGATACAGCTGGGTGCAGGACCTGCTTCCCAAGCTGCACCAGCTGGACCTGTCCTCCCTCAGCGGCTGTCAGCTGATCGCTGACGAACCCACACCAACTGCACAGGACCAGGATGTACACAAACCTCTTCTAGGAGGTCAAGGTACTCGTGTCAAGTTTTCACTCAGGGCCATGGGAACCAGTAAATCATCATGCAATCCCTTCTGTCACACATTCATATTGTATTTGACTTTGACTAGAGCAGTCTGGTAGGTCTGTTATGATGACACTTTACTTCCTCTTTGCAACACATGAAAGCTTTATAAAAGATCCATTGATATGTAAGATCCTGAAACTAAGAATGATGCTGGTAGGGTCAAGTGTAATATAACTCTATATTTGGAGGTGCTGACAAGGTAATGGTTGCTGGGTACCAGCTCTGTACAGTTCCATGTACATGTAATCACAACAAGAACAAATATCCATGTTCCATCACTAACTGACTGTGGTAAGAAACAAGCATGGTGCTAAAAAATTGAACATGTGCCGATTTCAGGAGCCTCCAGTTCCCCGAGCCCTGATGTCAGCAAGCTTGCCAAGAGGAACGATGACTCGTCCATCTCTGAGGCACGGCTCAGGTACCTGCAGAGGAAGGAGGCCAGAGGGAAGCCCAGGAGATGACAACATTCTTACACCTGGTACAGGACTCTTTGGTCTCACATGCTTTTACCTCTGAAATAAATGCACAGACTTTGAAATTTGTAACGTTAGTATCTCCACAGTATCTTTCAGAAGACTCAGGTGTTCCAGTACATTTGTATTTTTATTTTAGCTTCAGAGTGATTTAAAGACTCCTTCCAGCATAAGTATAGGCTAGGCTGGCTGATGCAATACCTGCCCTTTTCTCTGCTACACATCCAGTTTTACCTCTGTGGAACTGAAAGTGTCCCTCTGAGCCACTTGTATGTTTGGATTGCAGCCAACCTTTCTCTTTCCTTCTTTAGCACACCTCCTAGGATTGTGCAAAGACTCATGCCTGTCACGGAAGCTTCTAAACAAAACAATGCCTCAACATATGAAGAAGTAATTGGTGCTCTGTCAGGCTTTGTGAGGTTGATCCTTGTAGTAAGCATCTCAAAACTGTACCCTATCCTGGTTTTTGGTTGTAGTGGTAAGTGGTTTTTGGATAAGCTTTAACAGGCTATTGTCAGGTCTTTACAGCCCCTTATCTGTCTTTGCAGTCCCCTATTGTAACCCAAAACATGTGAGTGGAGCCTTGTTTTGAGGTAAAAAATGAAAAAAAAAGTCCTTACATGTGGTGATGTATGTGTACTCTGTTGTGCCAGCTCAGGGAAGTGTTTGGTGTAAGCTGCAGTTTGATCCCACTGTTGTGCATGATGCGGGTAATCATAGTGGAATGTGCCTCCTTAACCATTGATGAGGAAGATCCCTTCAGAAACTGTGTCAGCAAGTCTACAAAGTAAAACCTTGAGGGGAAAGCTGGACATTAACCAAGCTAAAGTAATTTACAATGTACCAACATCAACATGGGCTGAGTGTTTCAGGTGCACACAATATTGGGAAACTTCTGTCTAAGACATACAGTATTTCATATAACTACCAGTCCCCAACACCAAATATATTGTATTTAGAATCACTTCCATGAGAAGAACCAAGAGAGAGAGAGAATCACTTGATAGAACATTTGCTTCTCAAACCACAAATAAGTATGATTTATATGCTGTCCGATATGTCCATAACGTTAAGATATAGTTGGGTAATTTCTTCCACCCTTCTTTGGATTAACTTCCCTGATTGTTTAAGGTAGGGTACACATTCTCTGTGCATTTCACCGTGACGTATTTTTGGAAGGTCAAAGCCAACACTACCGACATGACCCCGTGTGTAGTCGCCTGGCAGTGGCTCCAATTTTCAGCCGTGACGGAACAACTGACCTTGTAACATCTGCTCCGCCCACTGTGCACCGATAGGAAAACACTGGCGGATGAAGTGACCCAGGAGAGATAGTATTGCCGCGGGGCGGGGCCCTGCCCTCACCGCCAGCTGACTAACCTCAGTAGACTCACACTGGTTGTTTTTGACAAGTGGAGTAGAAGCTTCCTATTAATAAGAACTCTTTACCAGACCAATTTAGAACTGAAAATCAGCAGACGTTTAATGGGGTATGCAATCTTTACTGACGCACCAGTGACATATTTTAAGAAGAGTTTGTGTGGTGTGGAGAGGAAAGGGTCGAGACTTCACGGCCGAAAGTTACCAGAGTTTTGATCCGCGTGATGCATCATGGGATGGGATGCAAGAAGTCGCTTTGCACGGTGAGCAAAACACCACATGTAGATTGTTGTTGGGGTAGGATAAGTTACCCAATAGGTGACGCTTACTGCTACAATGCCAATTTAGGATGAAAGTCACGTATTGTGCATCAGTATTGATTCTATATCGGAGACTGACAAATGACCACAGAAGTGCGGATGACTACCGGTATGGGCACTCGGCCTCGCTGCTCTGGTGACCACTGCGGGCGCCATGCGGTGCTCCAGCCAAGCCAAGTACCGGTATCACTCCATCACCCGCCTCCGGCCCGACAATAGGACGGAAGCCGACTGTCCACTTCAGGTGTTTCTGGAGCTTGTCTGAGTGATGACTGTTCGATAGCCATCGGGACGCCTCCTGGCTGACCCGTTTTTCACACAGCGATTGTTCTGGACCAAGTTTCTGGTTGCGGTTCTTCATCGGAGAAAACTAGCCAGGCCCAATGAGACCTAAATGACGTTTATGTTATTTTAGCCGCCAGGGAAGAATAACACACCGAGGTTCACCTGTATACCAACTTCCTAACTTATAGAATCCTCGCCCCCAATGTTCCGGATCCTATGGTTACATGTTTCTGTAACATTGTATACTAACGGTTGGCCGAGGTCAGCAAACTACGTCATCAAGCTAAGAGAGAGATGCTAAATCCGGACAAGAGGCCAAGGGCACATCTTGGGCGAGTAAAACGTTCATTCCGTGCAATAGTAGGTATCTGCCACCGTATGAAAAATGCCCTGGACTTTAACCTTGGTAGGTAATTCTAGCAAGCGATGTTTTCCTGCCCCGACAAGGTCAGCACTGATTACGTGAATCCATCAGTCTCAGTGGTGTCACAAACATGAACTCCCCCCGGCCGACACGCGCTGGATATAGCAGTTAAAGACCAGCATCGTATGTCGACTTGGCGTAGCTGCAAGACCTTGGCGCCTCTAACCATAACACGTAACAAGGGAGGCAGCCAAGCCGAACAGCTTAGAATCCTAAATCCCGTTCTCAAAAGGGATATTGTTGATGAAAGACGTGCATTTTGTGGTCCAAATTGGGACTTCCAAAAACACATCGGCTCGTTTAGAACCTGTTCCTTTGTTGTAACCACGGTGTTAGTCATTAGTTCATCGTCTGAAATAAAAAAGAGGCGATTGGCGTTTAAATCTTTCATTCATGTTTGTAGTTTACCAAAATACCAAGAGGGATGACCTAAAAGAAACACATTCTGTACTTCTGAGATAGTGTTGTCGTAAAACAAATATATCTAGATCTAGACCTTCTTGTGTCTGAACTCTGAAGACGAATTTTCTCCTTCGTGTATTCAAAACAAAGTCCTACAATTCTATGCAGGGATTTCTGAGGTCATGGTAACTCGCAATGTTGACGCAGTCATGTCTAGACTTGCGACCCTGAATGTTCAGGAGCTACCTACATGCAGGCGTATTAAAGTTTGCTTCTTGGCGTCAGAATGGCGTCTTGCGTGCACCTTGCAAGCAACATCAATGACAGCCATGTCGCTGGTCTCCTCTTGCTGACTTTGCAGTCTATTCCCTCACCTGTTGCAGTAGGATTTTCTCGGATTTCATTTCGTAAGGATGGAGACCACATCATTTTAGTGATAAAGTACAGGTTTGGTAATGATAATAGAATGCACGGTACTTTAATTATGTCCTCATCGATACTTCATTCCGACGAGCACGCCTCCCGATTAGTCGATGACCCTTGTCTGACCTGTAAACGAAGGTAAGTAGAACACTAGAGTAAACAGGAACCAAGCCGCAGTGTACCATCAAGGAGTGTCCTATCTACCAGATCTTGATCCTCTGCAAAGCAGTTAAACGTTTACTTTAGATGAGTGATGGCACGTGCCCGGGCCGCTGGACCGCCGCCAGCTGAAGGCGCCTTTGTTGGGCCCATAGAGTCTGATGGCCGAGCGATGTTCCTTCTCGTACCCAGGGTCGTGTTTCAGATAAGGAACACTAAATAAACAAAAGGTACGAGACGACACTTCCTCTGCAACCTGCTTAATTGCTTGTCGTGTAGCATCGTGTCAACGCGCGCCCGATATCCTAAATATTTTCAAAACGAAAACGATACGTCCCGGTCAGAGGGAGGTAGTCCTGATTACCATGCCAGGCCATTACCTCATAACTAATATTGCAATACATCTTTTGATTTCACTAATATTGACGACTACATTTTGAGACTCTGGCGATCAAGAAATTCGACCGAAGGTCGTTGACAGTGTGACGCCGGCTTAACAGTGCACATGCATGCCCGTAGCCAGGGGGGGTTCGGGGGTTCGGAAGAACCCCCCCACAAGGCTCAAAGGTCCACTTTTTGGTCCACTTTTTATGTAAAGGTCCACATTTTGGTCCACATTTTATGTAAAGGTCCACTTTTTGGTCCACATTTTATGTAAAGGTCCAAGATTGTTCTTTAAAAGATGGACTGGAATCGTAGAAAAACTGCTCCTTTTGTCATTGAATAAAAATTTATCTCTGATTTTTTTCTTGGAAATCCTCTCAAAAATGCACGAAATGCCATTTTAGAAGGTTCATTTTTCAAAATTTTCCGGGGGAGCATACCCCCGGACCCCCCTAGGAACCTCGCGCCTACGGCGCTCGAGGTCCCCTCAAGCAGTGGGAAGAACCCCCCCATTCAAGATCCTGGCTACGGGCATGACATACGCCGGTCGTGCTGGACAGCGCCCGTCTCTAAACTGTTTATTTCGGAGATGAACACTGTACCTCCGGAGCATTGGAGCAATACTTAGGGTTGCCTACATTCAACAAGACGATAACAAAATTCTCCGGGAAATATCTGGGGACCTTGGCTGTGTGCCCAGCGTCGTCAGGCACCGCCTACGTTAATGTAGACCTGTACACTTTCCCGACAGTTCTGTAGAATGTTGAATGTATTGTATTACTTTCCCGCTAAGGAAGACTGACTGAAGAGCGCATCCGGCGTGACAGCCACGTGCCGCTCGGGATCTGTTGTCCTGAAGGGTGTCCGGTTGTAAAAGTTAGGCGTATTGATTCCAGCTGACGAGACTGGGACTAGCCTTGACCACCCTAACCGCCCCTGACCTCTACCTTGAACAAGTGACAGATTGTGGTCACTGAAGAAGACCTGTTAGCGTCCGACTTGGCCCGCAATGGAATGTACAAGGTTGTGGACACACGACCCGTGCGGCGAACATTGAAGGGGTCTCCAGTCACAAACGTCTGCACAACAGTGTTGGAAGTAATTAAGATAACGGAACGTTAGACACAGAACGTGAACGTATTGGTGCTGGAACCTTATCATGTCTTTTACCTACCAGAGTTGGCAAGAGTAAAAGTGATAAAACGCATGCGAGTCATCACTACATGCCGACCACTTGCCATGTGCGTTTCCAGCCGGGTCCCGGAATGGATAGGCGGTAGATTGGCGAAGGTTCACGACATTGTACTGTATATATTATCGGCCTTTAGTGTTCTGGTTGAACTGACTTCAGAGGACTGGCAAAATCGTTTAGCTCCCGGGGTCGGGTCAGCCTTGATACGATAGGGAACTGTATTCCCTGGGCAGCGCCGTGTCACCGGTGATTCCAGTCAATACCTTAAAAGTCGAATTTATCGCCTATCATTACAAAACTGGATAATTAAGATTTACAACTTAATTCTATTCAGTTCTACGGACGTCGATAGGACCGTGCCGCCACGTGGACTCGACGATGGCCACACCCCCACACGAACTCGTGTGCACATGTACACAGAACCCCTAGATTTGCAATGACAGGTGTATGCTTTTTACTTGTGGTGTGGTCACAAATCCGTTTATGAAATTGAACACTCTTTCCCCCATAATGGGCCAGTCGAACCCTAAGCCGCGCGTGTTGCTCTAACCAGGCGGTAAATCCGCCGGCTGCTGACAGCAGTGCGCCGGTGTTTGTGTGGCGTCGCCAGCGGGTCGCGGCGACGACGTCGTCTTCCCCATTCACTTCACCTCTACCGCTTCCCCCGACACAATACCTGCCTTTGTTCTCAGGCGTGGCGCGAGGATCGTCAGCACAGGTGAATCTTTGCTTCCCTTTGTTCTTACCCATCTAGTATGATCTACTGTGTAAATACCAGCATAGATGAATGCCTCCGAAAGCCTTATCAATGTGATCATATCCAACTGTGATGCGAGGCACGTGTTCGTGGGTTTAACCTTTCCGCACATTATAGGATACGTGCATATACACCCCAGAGGCTGAGGGTACATCAGGGTACATCCCAGAGGGGCAGTGTACTTTGGCGTGCACCCCATAGGAGAGTGGAACATCGGCGTAGACCACAGAGAAGGGTAAACCTGCAGTGTAGGTTAGAGGTGGAGGGCCTCAGAGGTGGAGGGCACACCTACTGTAGGTTTGGAGGGTACATTACAGAGGTGGAGTAGACATACAAAATGTAAATATGGAGGGTTCATCTCACAGGTGTGGGCAGATTGGGCACAACAGGTACACATTTCTCACATGTTCCATGATAGACCAATGTAGCTACATTACATCTAAAATACCCATAGATTACGCACCGTGTATATACGTGTTGACAAAGACATGCTCGAGTATATGATTGGATGTCATTTTTATTAAACAGCCCTTTCCGTACATCATACTTTTCACCGATCAATTTTCTACTCAAACTTTTCCATCATCCAAACACAACAGATGTGAGAATTTTATCATTTAGATAAGGAGTCAAATATCTATCACCCGATAGTTGCCCTTCCCACTTGTCGGTTTCTTGACTCTGACAGTTCACTTCACACATAAATCTATACTCAGCCGTTAAGACGAGCTAAAGATATCTTTGTATGTGTTGTACAAATAAATCAACATCTGTAACAGATGCTATACAATTTGCTCTAAAAAAAACTGACTTAGCTTGCGAGAAATGATACACTCCTCCTTGACCAACTTTTGCAACCTAAACAGAGTTATGAGAATTAATATGCAATAGATGCGCATAGATTTCCGCCTATAGCTAGTCTTCATGTTTTGGCATTTCTGCTTTACCGACCTATTTAGCTAGGACCACGCCAAGTGTCACTCACTGGCTTCCCAAGACTGAAGTACACATAAATGTATACATGGGTGTTCAATGTCAGAAGAAAAACATCCGTTTCTAGTATATATGTGTACATACGTATTGTGATCTCTCCAAATATATACGTATTGTGATCTCTCCAAATAATCTCCAAGCAGATCTTTCGGTGGGACAGTATCAAATTGGCCATCCTGCATCTATTTCCCCATGGATACAGCCTGGCCAACTCGATACTGTCTTAGTCCCACCAAAAGATCTGCTTGGAGATTGCTCTCCAAACACTGTTAACTTTTACTTTAACTTCACATGTCACTGGTCTTTCGCTTCATGGCCAATTAATACCAATGCCTCGGAGTCAGTTTCACGCGTCAAGAACAACAAACCTTGCAAGAATATCGTATGACAGAAAGGTTGGAATGCCTGGGCAAACCTCCCTGAGAACATAAACACGTAAACACTTTCCATCAGAACAACACAGAACTTCAGCTTCTTCTTAAGGCCGGACCTAGTCACAGACAATAGTGGGAGACCTGCGCAGTCGGCATTTAGGGGGCCCTCCTGCCTTTGCTCGGTCAATGTGTTGACAAAACAAAACCTTGTACAAAATGTACCAAACAAGATCCAGAATATGTAATTTATCATTCAAAATTCACAATTTCTTGACTTCAAGTCTGTGCATGTCCTTCTCCCCAACTAAACCAGCTGTAGACAAGTCAAGTTTAAAGTTAAAGACTCCACAGTCTGAGAGAACATTAGTGAGATGAGTTGTACCGGTAGGAATGTTAGTATTCAGGTTGCACACGTTTATCCTGAGCTCCCTACATAAACATACCCGTCACAGATTTGTCAAAGCTCTTTCCATGAAGCTCTATACAATATACTGTTCATACACTTCTGGAACTAAAAAAATAGATATCCTTTTGACACCCTTTACAGATGTACAGGCGACATTATATGTCTGTATCAGACTATATTTCTTTCCTCGTCCAAGCAATCATGCCCGTTCATTCCGAACTACTATCCTACTACTTACTTCATTTTTTTCTTTAAGATGCAGCGAGTTTTTCAATCAATCTGCCGCTTTCTATGCACATAGTGCTGCTTATATAGCCCTATAGTAGGAGTCTTCTGAAACTTTCTTCGCTGTTTGACTTGCTGTTCACACCTCTTCATTCTTCAAGTCCATTTGTTTTGCCGTGTCCGACATGCTCTTTGTTTGCTCTCTTCCCCATAAGTCATTTCGACTTTCACCTGCGTTGTAACATGACCGCCTCCATGTCCTCAGATCGGACGACATTGAAACACTCTGTTCCGTCGTCAGATGTACCAGTTAATCTTGTACTTTTGGGCCAGCATAGCCTCCATGTGTGTATCCTTACAGCACTTGTGGAAGGCGTTCTTTGCCATCCTCTTTCCATTCATGCACTTTCTGAACTGCGAGATCAGCGGAGAGCTCTTGCGGCCCCGCTTTGCCGCCATCCTCTGCTTCATCTTAAACTGCAGCTGATTTCGGAGACGGAACCACACCTGCGGCTTGTAGAAGTCGGGGTTGCAGTGGTAGCCCCCGCTCCCAGCCAGCCGCCCGAAGTCGCAGCAGCTCACCCGCCGGGCAGACTCACGGCCACCTCGGTCGAAGTCAGGCTTGACTGCCGGCGGCTGCGGCCGATCCGGGTCGTCTCCACTGGTCTCTGCGTCGCTGTCTTCATCGTCCCAGCCGGGACCCTCCTGCATGCCCTCCGTCTGCATACGTGTCTTCAGTCGGGCGCCAGACATCGTGGGCCGGCTTCCTCTCCCTGTCTCCGCCTCAACCACCATCAGAAAATCTGCAAAAATAAGTTTAGAATTTATTATTGTATGTAGCTTTATGTTTCTCGAAGACAGGGATAGCTCATGTCATATAAAAACGTCCGCTGGTATTTGTTGGCACCAACATCTCCCCTTTCAGTGATTCAAATAAACATCTTCCGTTAACGTCAAGTTGACTTTGGCTATTTTAAGTTCAACAATTACTCTTACTTGTCGCCTGCCTTACCCCTGTCAATGACTGATATGGGGCTTATGTTCACTCAGGTTTTCACCCAAAGCCTTCTATGCGTGAATTCCGGCTATAGGTCCGACTATTCTGTAGTTTGATGGTGTTGTGTAAACTTTATATTTGGTAAGCAAGCTGTACTATCCCGACGCAGTAGCATTCTTCGGGTCGACTCATCTCCAAACAGATCAGGTACGGCTTGTTTTGAGCGATTGTACGTCTGTTGTACACCTTTCTGTACGGCACTTCTTTCCACTGGACGCCTTCATACATCTGCTTGAAGACAGTGACTGGACGTCCCTGGGCGTGTCTGCTGCATCGTCCCCTCACCTCGGCCAGCCGCATGGTGGCGTCGGCGTGTCTGACCCCCGCAGCTGGGTCTCGTCCCCACGAGTAGGGCAACATCACGGACAATTGTGCGGAATGACGAGTCTAGCCAGGTTGGACACGTTTCCAACAGTTCAGTTAGCTGTAGAATCCCGAGGTTGGGTGTATAATGTTTAAAAAAGACGACAAATTCATACCTTTTTTTTTAGATAGCTGAATCTGACAGATGATCTGTAGACGAGTGTAAAATCTGTCAATGATGAGGCCAAAAACCCACGCGTTTTCTACCGCAGCTACCACGGGGACATTCACGTAGATAAATGTACCTGTACGACACAATGGGTAACCTTGTCAATTATGTATTAACGTGTTAGGGAACATGACAAGGAAAATAAATATCTACTTTAAAGGGAGATTGAGTGGAAAGCCTGCGAGTCTAAACAAGCGCGATGATCAAAGGTTCGTGACTAGAACAGATAAGTGGAGGTCTGCACGGACACGTTAGGCATAGCTGCAGGATCAATTAGAGAGACTCAAGGTCTCAAGTGGAATATTTTTAGTTGGAATCAGGGCCGATGTGGCGACACCCTGCCTATCTTTCATCGAGCGTCGCACCATAGTTTTAAAGTTCAAACCACATCCTTATCTGTCCCTTCTGTGCGGGCCCAGACGGCACCCAGACGTCTTGCTGACGCTGAGGAGTAAATCACATAAGTACGAACTTGGAGCCGATGGTGACAGTACATAAAATGTCGGGATAAAAATAGATGCTACGGTGACATTACCAAATTAATAGAAATTCATCCATGATAAAACCCCTGACGTTTTTATCGAACGACTCTGATCATGAGTGAGGTTGTGTGTCGTGTCAGACGGTGAGGTAGATTGCGCACACGTATGTTGCACGCAACTGTGGTAAGAAAGTAGGTCAATGCCACCACAGCCAAACCGCACGTCCCCACGACTGTGATACGATCGATCGCGAGTCCCCTGCGATTCACATCACGACCCATTCACGACTACACCCTCCCCAAATTTCTGTCTCGGACGTACGACGAATATGATGGGTTGCCGGGTCTTGACTACCTGCCCAAGTCGTTTCTGCATTTTCAGTGAGTTTATTCTTGGCTGTTGCTTCACTTGAAGACCTTTTCTGTTGACTCTGTGTGGTGCATTGCGGGATCGCGCTGGGGCAAGGATGTGAGGATCATCGCCTCCAAATCACGTGCCAGAGGTGAAACAGATGTTCCCCACAAACTGCCAGCTTTCTAAATCAGTATTCGGTCTTGTCATTGACGTGTCAGAAACTCCAGAAACGTTTGTTTAGCCAGTGTAATGATTTAGATTTGTTTGATGTTTAGCCGTAACCATGGGCGGAATGTTCCCGGCAGCAATGCTTCTCTGCTCCCCGCATGTCAGGACACCGGCAGGGGGTCGCACAAGCATCTTGCCAATGTTCTGGTTACCAGGGAGTCATTGCGCAACCCGTGGTCCTTTGGAGAAAGTACAGTACATTGATTCGAGCCAACTGTACCCCAGGACTGATAGGTGCCCCTGAGCTGGTTCAACAATATCCAATCACCTAAGGTGTTATGCTTGGCGACTTTGACTGACAGGACTCGACGGACGTGCTCTGATTTCAGAAGTTGGGATATCGGTCATGTGAGACGACGTCGTTGATAGTCTAGGATTGTGTCTTGTGGAAGATTTTGACTTGTACTCCTTCATATGATGATGTAAACCAAAGTTGCTGTATACCAAGAGACGTTGGTAAGACGAGTCGACGCTTACTTTATTGTGCCTTTCGGACTCTCTTCCAAGACGGCCAATGGCATGAATGCGATTGTGATTTGTTCCAGTGCAAATCGTATCACACCTGCCACTGTCATTGTTGTTTGATATACGACTTTGTGTTAAACACAGTAACCTGTCTCCACCCCAGGTCTCCTGTCAAACTCGACTAGCATCAAACCTACTGACCACGCCTGATCCCCAACACATGGGAGTAGATAGCTACCTCTTGCCAAACCACAAAGCCGATAATATACTCATTTTCAGCCTGAAGGTAACCCACAACAAGAGTTCGGCCGTATGTCCGTTGTGGTGTGTTGACTTTGTTAGATTGTTGTGAGGTGGTTGCCAGTGTACCCTGTGTCAGCAGCTAAGTGCAAGAAACCACAAAGGTTGGCGAGATCTGTTAGTTAATGGCGCTTTCCGCTGTAAACTATGAG